GGCCTCCACCTTCTTCAGGAAATGCTCCAGGCCCACGTCTGCAACGGGATTGGGATTGGAGTCAGGAATGGAAAATCCCATTTGGGATATCCCAAATGCTCCAGGCCCACGTCTGCAACGGGATTGGGATTGGGATTGGGATTAGGAATGGAAAATCCCAAATGCTCCAGGCCCACGTCTGCAACGGGATTGGGATTGGGATTAGGGTCAGGATTGGGGTCAGGAATGGGATTGGGAATGGGGTCAGCAATGGGATCGGGGTCAGGAATGGGATTGGGATTGGGAATGGGGTCAGGAATGGGATTGGGATTGGGATTGGAGTCAGGAATGGGATTGGGAATGGGGTCAGCAATGGGATCGGGGTCAGGAATGGGATTGGGAAACCCCAAATGCTCCATTCCCACATCTGGAACGGGATTGGGAATGAGGTCAGGAATGGGATTGGGATTGGGGTCAGAGACCAGAAAACCCCTTTAGGATACCCCAAATGCTCCATGGCCACATCTGGAATGGGATTGGGATTGGGGTCAGCAATGGGATTGGGAAACCCCAAATGCTCCAGGCCCACATCTGGAATGGGATTGGGATTGGGGTCAGGAAAGGGATTGGGATTGGGATTGGGAATGGGCTCAGCAATGGGATTGGGATTGGGATTGGGAATGGAAAACCCCAAATGCTCCAGGCCCACGTCTGCAACGGGATTGGGATCGGGGTCAGCAATGGGATTGGGAAACCCCAAATGCTCCATTCCCACCTCTGGAACGGGATTGGGATTGGGATTGGGGTCAGGAATGGGATTGGGAATGGGGTCAGCAATGGGACTGGGATTGGGATTGGGGTCAGGAATGGGATTGGGATTGGGAATGGGATTGGGAATGGAAAACCCCAAATGCTCCAGGCCCACGTCTGCAACGGGATTGGGATTGGGATTGGGGTCAGCAATGGGATTGGGATCGGGGTCAGCAATGGAAAACCCCAAATGCTCCAGGCCCACGTCTGGAATGGGATTGGGATCGGGGTCAGGAATGGAAAACCCCAAATGCTCCATTCCCACATCTGGAACGGGATCAGGGTCAGCAATGGGATTGGGATTGGGATTGGGGTCAGCAATGGAAAACCCCAAATGCTCCAGGCCCACGTCTGGAATGGGATTGGGATTGGGGTCAGCAATGGAAAATCCATTTGGGATACCCCAAATGCTCCAGGCCCACATCTGCAATGGGATTGGGATTGGGATTGGGATTGGGGTCAGGAATGGAAAACCCCTTTGGGACACCCCAAATGCTCCAGTCCCACGTCTGGAACGGGATCGGGATTGGGATTAGGAATGGAAAATCCCAAATGCTCCAGGCCCACGTCTGGAATGGGATTGGGATTGGGGTCAGGAATGGGATTGGGAATGGGAATGGGGTCGGGAATGGGATTGGGATTGGGAATGGGGTCGGGAATGGGATTGGGATTGGGAATGGGGTCGGGAATGGGATTGGGATCGGGAATGGGGTCAGGAATGGGGTCAGAGACCAGAAAACCCCTTTGGGATACCCCAAATGCTCCATTCCCACGTCTGCAATGGGATTGGGATCGGGGTCAGGAATGGGATTGGGATTGGGAATGGGAATGGGGTCAGAGAGCAGAAAACCCCTTTGGGATGCCCCAAATGTTCCATTCCCACATCTGGAATGGGATTGGGATCGGGGTCAGGAATGGAAAACCCCTTTGGGATACCTCAAATGCTCCATTCCCACATCTGGAATGGGATTGGGATTGGGATTGGGGTCAGGAATGGGATTGGGATGGAAAACCCCAAATGCTCCATTCCCATGTCTGCAATGGGATTGGGATTGGGATTAGGATTGGGGTCAGGATTGGGAATTGGATTGGGGTCAGGAATGGAAAACCCCAAATGCTCCATTCCCACATCTGGAATGGGATTGGGATTGGGGTCAGGAATGGGATTGGGAATGGGATTGGGATTGGGAATTGGATTGGGGTCAGGAATGGAAAACGCCAAGTGCTCCATTCCCACATCTGGAACGGGATTGGGTTGGGGTCAGGATTGGGATTGGGAATGGGGTCAGGATTGGGATTGGGATTGGGGTCAGGAATGGGATTGGGAATGGGGTCAGGATTGGGATTGGGATTGGGGTCAGGATTGGGATTGGGAATGGGGTCAGGAATGGGACTGGGGTCAGGAATGGGGTCAGAGATCAGAAAACCCCTTTGGGATATCCCCAAATGCTCCAGGCCCACGTCTGCAACGGGATTGGGATCGGGGTCAGGAATGGGATTGGGAATGGGGTCAGACACCAGAAAACCCCTTTAGGATACCCCAAATGCTCCAGGCCCACGTCTGGAATGGGATTGGGATTGGGGTCAGGAATGGGATTGGGATTGGGAATGGGATGGAAAACCCCAAATGTTCCATGCCCATGTCTGCAACGGGATTGGGATCGGGGTCAGGAATGGGATTGGGATTGGGGTCAGGAATGGGATTGGGAATGGGAATGGGGTCAGCAATGGAAAACCCCTTTGGGATGCCCCAAATGCTCCATTCCCACGTCTGGAATGAGACTGGGATTGGGATTGGGGTCAGCAATGGAAAACCCCAAATGCTCCATTCCCACGTCTGAAACGGGATTGGGAATGGGAATGGGGTCAGGAATGGGGTCAGGAATGGGATTGGGATTGGGGTCAGGAATGGGGTCAGAGACCAGAAAACCCCTTTGAAATATCCCCAAATGCTCCATGGCCACATCTGGAATGGGATTGGGAWTGGGGTCAGSAATGGAAAACCCCAAATGCTCCATTCCCACATCTGGAACGGGATTGGGATTGGGAATGGGGTTAGGAATG